TTAGTACACCCTCTTTCCTGTGGTTCAGTAGGTGGAATTGCGATTTATTTTTAAACTGAAATACTGTGACAGATCCCTATTTACAGTTCTGGATGCCTGACAGTAACATTTCATTTTATAGCCTTAGAGCTGAGCAGATGTAAAAAATGAAATATTAAGCAAACTGACCACCAATTTGCCTAAATTTTTAAGGTACGAGACATTTCACAATAGGGACTCCCTACTGTCACTGACACTGCGAAGCAAGACAGAAGAAAAGCTACATGGCTGGAGAAGAACAAGGTAGTGTACAACACAGCAAGGTGAAGCAGAGTTGAGTGAGAATGAGACAGCACAGGTCCAGTGAGGTGGAAAGTCTCTGAATGAAACACCGTGTGTCTAAGCAGAACATTCAGGCAGGAAAGAAAACCCTAGCTCTGTCCCATTTAGTAGCCAAATCAATTGCCTGCAACATCGCAAGCGAGTAGGCAAGTTGAAGTTTGGTGTTTCGGGGTCCTCATATCTGTTCTTAGTCCATTGGTGTTTCAGAGCAATTTTAACTATTGTAAAACCAAAGTCTTGGGCTGGTGAAAGCAAAGCTCGTGTCCAGGTTCAGACCCCCATTTGTTTCGAATCACAAATCTGACGCAGCTGGTTTGCGCTATGCATTTTCTCTCCTTAGCAACTGTTCTTGACACTGTCAAGGAGAGACCCACCAATGCCTCCCAGGTACACACAGAGCACAGCAGAAATCTAGGCGGGCACCTGAATCTTCCAAGGGTGCCTCTACTTTCAAAAACACACCTGTAGGAGACTAAACAGCAAGGCAGACCCTGAGGCTGGGAAAATACAGCTGAGCCATGCTCTCACCCAGATACCTCTCATAAATACATTCCTACTCTTGTATTCGTCCTGCATCTCAGAAATCAAATTCCTTTTTGGACAGCATATCAGTGCTCTGAGTTGTCCTGTCCAGAAAAAATCCTCCTTCTTTACATTCCTAAGTCATTGGGAATTTCACACCGCTCTTTGTGAGGCCTGCAAAACATCTGTCTTTAAAACAAAGCCCTGGATGCAGTTACCAGGTCCTTGGCCTCCTCTGTTGCCAGGATAATTTGGAAGCTGCGTTCCCCTGAGGAACCTGCCTGAAAAACCAAAATCAGGGTCGGTTTGCTTGCCAGGTTCCAGCAATATCAGAGGATATGTACATGAGCCCTTGCTGCATACTCCCAAAGCTCATCTCATCACCACCTCCCCGTGCTGACGTCTGCCAGGGCACCCTGGCAGAACAACCTGCAAGTTCCAGGCAGGAACAGACAAATGTATTTGAAGATGCAGAGCCTATTTTCATGTATTATAAGAAATCCCTTGTCTGCAGCTGCTTCCTTCATGTTGTATTTTCATTTCAGCTGGTATCATTTCCATTTTATAGCTTCATAGTTGAATACATTTAGTTAAATCTTTACTAACAGGCCTTGCTTCTATTTCTAGTTACCCTCCAGAAACGTGTTAGGGAGCTGCAGCCAAAAAAAGCCCATACATGAATCTCAAAGCCAGATCTAATTTATAGGGTTGATTCCATCTCTACAGGAAATCAAACCCAGGCACTAGATGTAGAGCCAGGTTTTGAACACCCAGATCCAGAGTCTTTAGATCCAGTTTTACCTCTCCATAACAGGCTCGCTGGAAAGGTTGTGTTCAGGAAATGTTGGTTAGTTTGTGTTCCTCTCCTGTTACACCAATTCCCAGAGCTCTCTCCCAGGATCTCAACTCAGTTTCGGATGCTATGCACTACACTAAATATTACAGCTTTCTCTTCCAAAACAATTAAGGCTTATGATTGCCTTGCTGATCAGGAACAGCAGGAGCCACCTCTGCTGGAAAAAATCCACCTTTCAACCGTAATTATTCATATCCAATTACACTGCCAAATGAGGTCCAAACAAACAGGGTTCTTCTGCGGTAGATGCTGTCAAGTCAGAGGAAAGGGTGGGCTTCTCTGTCATCCCAACCATGCAAAACCACTCATTTTCTTTCTCTCAAAACATGCACACACAGTTCCTGCAGGAACAGAGGGAGAGGCTTCCTCAATGACTTTTAAAAAAAGAGAGTAAGAAGGATTAATACAGCCTGAGAAGAAATGATAGTAAGACTAGGGATGGATACCTATCCCACAGTACCTTACTAATGGAATTTGGAGTCTGTGGTGTCTCATCCTTCAGCGCCGACGGGCTGTTTCCTTCCACATCTTTTCCTGCAACAAATAAATGTGATTCAGAAACAGATAAATTCTGTGCAAAACCATGGCTACTCATGGCCTTAGAAGGTCTACTGCTAACAGCAAGCAAGAGAAGCTGTCATAAGCAGGAGCAGGCACACCAGGATCACAGCAGAGCTTGATAGAGCCTGGATCCACATACTTGGGCTATGCAACAAGTACTGCTTAAAAGTTGGGTCTGAAAACACAGTGGTGAACCAACATGGTGGTTGCAAAGCCCAGCATACGAAGGCTGGAAAAAAACAGAAATAAAATTGCTAATGCATCCTTAATCAACTCCCTTCTGTGTCTGCATTATGATGCAGTCTTTAATTACATTACCACAGTCTGTTCTTTTCTTACATACCCCATGCCTCATTCAATGCAAATAATAAATGGAATTCAGTTAATAAGCAGCCATTCAATACATTATCCTCCTTGATCAGTATCTGGCAGCCATACACAGATGCACTTGATAGCACACTTTGTTTGACAAATAGTAACCACGATCACAACATGTTACAGAAGACAGAACAGAATCTAGACATAATTAGTAAATCAAAATTAAAAAAAAAACCACTGCAGAAGATCAATGTCTTCTGACCAAGTTATTTGTCAAGAAACATTTTCAATTAACAAATAGTATTTATGAACACTACGACATTTTCCCACCATCGCAGAGATGTATTTCCACTACCCAAATACACTAAACTTGCAGTACCTTATACACATTATATACTAGTATGAGTGTGTGTAGTCCTAGTCCAAGCCATAAAATGTAACGATAAAGTCTGTTCTTTTTGCCAACTGTAATTACGTCCTTACAGTAAAAGAAAGCATAGAGTGTCTATTAAAAAAAGCCAAAAAATAGCATCTGATGACACCAGCTTTTTAGTGCCAAGACAGCCGTTTTTATTCAATGGCAATGTAGCTTTCTTCTCAAAACTGTTAGCAATCAGAGCTTCAGAATACTGGATGCAGTAACAAACCACCAAGACAGTGAAATATAATCCATTTGTAGCACACTGCAAACATGGGAACTGTTAAAAATGTTTTAAAACATTGTGTGGGCCAGTCTTGGAAACACCACCAAATCCAAAACCAGGAAGGGAAAATCCTCCTGAAGTCAGATGAAGTTCTCACAGATGTGTCAGAAGCCATCAACAACTTCTGGAGTTTTCAGAGCAGCCATTTAAGAAGCCAAGCACCATTAGAAAAGTCAGCCACAGAAGCTTACTAAAAAATAAATATCCTCATGGCCTTGTTGTGCACTTCCATCTTGGGACATGTGAGAGAGTAAGCACATCCCATTATAACCAGAACTGGAACTGTGCTACAGGATTTCACTGGTAAAGACACAGGACTTTTTTTCCCTCTTTACAGGCATTAACAGGCCTTGCTGTTTAATAATAATTTGGTGTATCAACTCTTAAATTTAAGAAAAGGCTTTGTAGGACAACTGTTTGTAGGTGCTCAACTTTCCGAATGGTGACTAAGGCTGGTGGGGGTTTCAAACGTGTTTCTCGCCCTGTGGCATAGTGCTGGGCTGTGCCACATGCATGCAGCCATGCTGACACAGAAAGCAAACACTTCCAAGCCTGGGAGAAGAGGGACAGCGCGTGCATTGTTCACGTGGGGAACCGAAGCGGAGGAAGGAGCTATGCAGTCACATAGGAAGGCGGTGCGACAACAGGGAACCTGTATCTTAACCTAGTTTCTTAACTGTCACTCCTCCCTTTGAAACACTGAGCCCTAGATAACGCACTCGGAAACCTGATGTCCACAGGCAGGAGAAAATCCCAAGTGGACGGATATTTGACAATCACCTCGTGCTACCATGACAAGTGGGATGGCCGTAAGCACTGCTGTGCATGGATTAGGACCCGTATCTCCATACTTTTTCTTTCTCTGATAGCACTCTCTGTAGACTCCACTCTCCCTAACAGAGGCAGAGGAGGTTGGAATAAACTCACAAAGCCGTGTAGCTGCTGCAGTTGTTTCCCATGAAGAGTTTTTTTCTGAGCATGTATGGGAAAGTAACATATGGTCTAAATGTTCAAGTAAAGTTAATGGGAATCAGCTGCTACCTGCTCCGAGGGAACGACATCTATTACCATAATAAAATTCACATCCATTCTTTATTATGTCTCATTTCTTAAAGTTTAAATCCAAGCTGGTATCCATACAAAAAGCCCGGACATGAGAGATTTCTGCCTTCTTTCAGTAATACAGTTAAAAGAGTTTGCACCTGAACAATGAGATTTTCGCTGTTCCTGAGGTTCTGGACCATCCTGCTCACAGAGTATTACGAAAAATGGGAACATGCAACTGTTCACTCTTACCATATAATTTACAAGGATTTGTGAGATATGTTTATGGAGCAGAATATACTGGTTTCTTACACCAAATTTGTTAAGCCTATTGGCACTTGTGAGGGAAAGGCTGTTTTTTGGAGGAGAGCTATCTTTGCTGCCTGTCCCAAGCAGACGACAGCCAGCCCTTGTTTAGAAAGCAAACTTCATTGAAATGATGTCCAAATTTCTCAGAAATCCACTCATATGCACAGAAGCCCAAAAGCGAGAGTCCCACCCAGAGCACAAGAGACACAGCCTCCTCAAGAAAATAAATAGGAAACCACACATAAACATAAAAAAAGCTAAATATTAACTGGCTATAGAAGCTGAAGTTCTTATCTCCCTGATCAAGAAAACATAATGCCCACAACAGAAAAAGAGCTGAATCTCTCTGACTTAAAGTGCTGGCTGCTAGCAGGGCATGCACAGAAGGGTCCTCCATAAAGCCCAAACATTTTGCACCAAATAATGAAAAAGATTTGGGGAAGGTGCTTGTGGAAATGACCTTCACCACATTGTGAAGAAAACTGCCAACAGTCTTGCGGTGACAGAGTTGAATTACCGATACCTTCTTTTTTCCCATTACTGTCATGCACAGGAAAAATAAGTATTTAGTTCCTTTCCAGAACAGTAACTGTTCATTTTCTTTGGTTTTCTGCTGGGCATTGATCCTACAGGGGCATTTGCATTTCCGCTTTATAAAGAATGATACAGCAAGCATGACTGATCAATGGTAACGGGAAGCAAAATTACTGGGTTATTGAGGAATTCAGGATTAGCTCCACACAGCATGAACTATTATCTTACAGGCTTTCTGATAAAGTATCTGGATAACTACAAAAGGAATACGGGCTCTGATGCGTGGCAAAACTATTGTGAATAAAACCCATTACTGCTGTAAAAATCAGCCACATGGCCCGATGTGTGCGCCAGACTGAAATTTAGTTCCATGAAAGTGCATCTCTTAGGATGCAGGTAAGCTAATCTAAATTTTTATTTAAAGATACTGCGTGATCTCACAGTCCAGTCAAAAAGGGAGATTCTCTAGAAGTTCTTTTAGCTACTCCCCCAATAAATTTCCTGCCCTCTGAAAGAGAAAATAGAGAAAGATTCTCTCTCCTTATTGCTAAGTGAAAGACAGACGTGGGCAAGGAACATGAATTCATGTCTCTCCAGTTTGTGAACTTCCTAGAAAAAGAAAAGGGCTTCTTCATTAGCATTTTTGTATGCAAGCAAGAGGCAAAAAGTCCGAAGTGTTATTTCAGATATTACTCTCTGCATTTCCCATATGTTTCCTTTAAAAAAGAAATCCTCTCACTGAACTGAATCTTCATAGCGTAGCTTGCCTGAGGTATAAAGTCTGTCACTCGCTTCTCACTGAATTATTTACTTGCACACCTCCTTTGTTGGAGGGCTAATCCTAGGTGTTGGTGCTGTGAGACCTGCAGTTCCAGCCACCTCACCACCCACCAAACTCCTGGCAGGAAATCACGGGGCTTTGTTGCCCATGCTGCCCACAGCACCCACTCAACACGATCAGCCCAGTGCCCTTGCAAAGAAAATCTACTGGGATCAGGCAGCAAAAGACAGACCACTGGAAGAGCCTCAAGAACTGAAAACTCACATAAAACAACAAGGAAAATGGGGGACAGAGAAATATTAGATGCAGCTTATGGACATAGACCTGCAGCTTATCTATGGTGATAGCAGCATCCTTCAGAGGGAAGGGAGGAGGTGGGAGGAAGCACTCGCGGCTCAGAGGAAAAGAAGACAGAAGCAGCAGCAAAGGAGTGAAAGGAGAGCCCGCCATGGAAAACGGCAACTGAACGTGAAGAATGACAGTTACTTCTTATGGGAAATGTGAGGAAAACAAAGACACAAGGCAGCTCTGTGGGGACCAGGAAAGAAATGAAAGGAGTAAAAAAAATATGTAAGGATAGACAAAACCCCAGACTCTCTGCAAGAAATCCCCTGGCTGAAGCAGTAACTTCTATTTGTTTAAAAGGAATATTCTCTCCTTTACAAACTCTCTGGCCTATGCTCTTTCTTTGCGATATAGAGGGCTACCGCCCTCGCTGATGCCAGTGCTGGAGGTTACTCAGGAGAACTGTGCAGCAGAACAAAAGCTCTAGCATGGCTCAAGACGCTCGTTCTGCTGAGCCCAGCAAAGACTGGTCCAGCTGCCAGCGGGGATCAAGGAGAAACAAGTGATGAGGGAAACTGAGGAAGAAACAAACTCTTTCAGCTGCTACCTCCTCCATGCTGAAACCTCCAACTTTCCCTGGTTTCTGAAAGATCACAGCACTGAAATGCCTCTGCGAGGAAGTCAGTAACTTTAGCACTGAAAATGCTGGTAAGAACTGAAGAATGGGCAAACTCAAAGCTATGGCTCTCCATCTCCCCAAAGCAAGGGGAAATGACTACAGCCTTAAAAATCAGCTCTTCAGCTCCCAAGGACAGCAGAAGTAAAACAGCTATTTACCTACCACACTTTGTACGGACTGTACTTATGGGCAGCTAGCTGTTCAGAGGTCCCTACAGGTTGGAAATGTATGAGATTTTAGGTGTCCCATTTTAAGTTGTTTTCAATTTGGTTACCAAAAGGTTGTTGAAGCTTCCAGCGGACCCAGTGACAGCCAGGATTAGTCAGCACTGCTGAAGCTTGCCTTGAAGCAGACACCCACAAACAGAAATACCTGCGAAAACGGAGGCCCTCGAAACCTTTGCACTTAGAGGCAACTAGCTCAGGAAACCCAGACCTTGTTTTGCTCTACATCTGCAAAGCCCAGAGAGTCTGTCGGGTGTTACATCTATATGAACGCTGAAACCTTTTGACAGATGCTATGCTCTTTCTCTAGATACCAGTGTTTTGAGAGCTCACGAAGGTGCTGTGAGGTTTGATTATTTGGCACTGACATGGCAGCTGCAAATGACAGCTCTACAAACTTGCGACTGTTCCCTGAAGCACTTGTTTACAGACTGGAACGGAAACATTGTTTGCAGACTGCAATCAAGGAACCACTTGAATGTTTATTGTGAGCAACAAATTCTGAAACAATAAAATGATCTCTATTTCCTTCAATAAGGGTGCTAGGAAATTCAAAGCAAAAAAGATGTAAAGAGAACGCTTAAAGCCAGTCTGCCATTCACTGCAACGTGTCAAGATTCCTGGAACTTGTAGTGCTTGTAGATATTTACAGAACATTAACAACAGAAAGTTTGCTCTTGTAATATTTATCCTGGGCGCTGAATCTGAACAGGGAAACCTGCCATTAAACGTCTGCAAATGGGGCCAGTAAATCTGAAACGAGTCCAATGCTTAGGGTGAAACACATCAAGTGCCTCAAAGTGGAAGCGCCCAAAAACATTACTCGTTTTTGAAATGTGAGGCCATGCAGTGTTCAAATGGTTACGAACCCCCACTCTGATGCCCTCTATTCCCACTTAAAGCCACGGCGATGAAAGGCAATAGCACCATGACAGCAGCACTGTCTAGGATCCAGTAATACCTGTGTTGCAACAGCTTCTCTCTCTCTGTCACATTAACTTGTTTCTCTTTGTTTCCTGGCAGCATGCTAAAATATCTACTTGCACTCAAGCACCTGAGACACTCTACTTTCTGCCCTGACACACCAGAAACCAACCTGGGCTGAGTGGGTAGATGTCATTGTCGGCCCCGAAGAACAGATTGCGTGTCAGCTTCCGAGGATCGACCTTCTGAGGGGTAGACGAGGCCGGACAGAGGGAGAACCTGCGACGAAGAAAGTTCTCCTCCTTCATGGCATGAGCTGTGGGGGTTTTCTGAAAAGGAAAGATAGAAATAACAGTTCATTGCAAGACACAGGAAATTAAGGTTTCGCACCCAGATGACTCTGCTGCTTCAAAGCCACCTAATCCTATGTAGTGTGCCAGATCTTTTTATAGACTGCCAGAAGGCTATGCAGAAAAAAAAAGTGATATTAGTTTGAAGCTACGATTACTGATTTGCTGACTCTCAGTATTTGCAAACTGCAGGGAAGCAGGACACCGCTCCTTTGTGAATCCAGGCAGTATTAACACCCTCCTACCTACACAGATCTATCTAGGATAATAGCTATTTACTGGGTCCATCCAGTGCGCAGTGGCTACAATCCACTTTTTTTTTTTTTTTTTAAAAGGTTTTGGAGTTTCTTTCATTAATGTAACTCCATTGGTGTCAGCAGAGTTACACCATCTCTGCAAAAATCAACATTTAATCTGAGCTGCATGGAAGAAGACCGGCTGCACTGGCTGCAGAGAGCAGCCAGCAGAGGTAATGCCAGTGTCACTCCTGCCCTTATTTCCAATTACAGCACATATAAATAATATCAGTTTTCTTTAAAATGGCATTAAGATCAGCCTTGCAGTTTGATCAATAAGATAAACCTTGCTGTTCTGTCTGGGTAAGGAACAGCATTTGTCTCCCCAAAAGCCTCTCTGCATGCCCACACGAGAGCCTGGTGGTACTGTGCTCTTTACCACCACTTGGCTAATCCGTTAGACTATCCTGGCTGGAATTAAAGGTTTCTTTTATACGCATCCAACAAGCAGTTCTTTCTTACCCATTACAAACAGATATTATGACTGTCTCCTTCCTGAGTTACAAGCTTTCTTCTCCCCCCAGGTGCAGCCAGAGGCAGGGCTCTTACTAGCAGCAAGAAGCGTTAACCCAGCCTTTGGGTGGCCATTACAGACCATGAGGTCTGCTGCTTCTCCAGGGGACAGTTACTGCGGTAAGAAAATCCCATTAGGATGGTACATATTTCCTGAAAAGAGCCTCCAAGTTTTCCCATCTCTTTTAGGCTACTGGGAAAGCAAAGGGGAAAAAGTTGCCCAGAGTCGTGGTGCAGTTTGGGAGGCTAGGACCAGCACGCATGTAAGGTGACCTGTGTGGCAGCAGGTGGAAAATGGGCTGATTAGGGCTAGAATGTCCTGCCCTGCCCTTCCTGCTCCCAGTAACACCACAGTGCTTGCACTCACCCAAACGCCCCAATTTAATGGGGAATCCTCAGCAGTCTCTTGGAGCTCAGCCTTCACAGCTAAGACACCTCACGGAGAGGATGCCATGAACGCGTCCCAGTGTGAGAAACTCCCCTCCTGTGTCTTATCTGAGCTCTGTCCTTCCACCTGCCCTGCTAATCCCTGTTAGAAGGCAGTCCCAACATTTCAGGTTTTGCAGGTTTTTTTAAACCTTTAAACTTTATAAAGTAGATGTGATTTATGAGGTGAGAGAGAATCTGCTCCTTCTTTCCCACAAGAGACAGCTGGCCTCAGTGCTCAAGAGCTTAATTTGATCTAAACCAGTCCAAACTCCAACAATGAGCATGGGGTACCAAAACCACTTTGAGCAGCAGGTCTTTCTGAACCCAGTTCACGGAACGGGTGAGTCTTCAGATGCAAGGGTCTGTAACACCCAAAAAGGTGCTAATGGCTAGCAGCTAGGGCTAGACCAAAAATGGGACTCCCCCAGGCCAGACAGCTGCAATGTGAAGGAGATGGATGTCCCCTGCTGGGCCCGCGTCATCTGTGGAGGGTGAATTAAGGTCTCTGTCGTGCTCTGAGGACACTAAAAGCCCTACATGTTATTGTGTCCCCCACTGTGAAGTGGCTGTAAGCCACTACAGATTCAGCAGCAGCACCATTTCACCATAACCACTTCACACAACTCTTGGTGAAGGGCTTTGTGTTTGAGCGCCAGGACACCCTGTGCCAGACAGGGCTGCCACGGACTGACCCTTCGCGCACCGCCTCGTGTGAAGATGTGCTTCAGGCCGATGGCATGTTGTGATGACAGCCGGGTGAAACGAGGTGGCTGCAGCGCTTTCCACTCGCTGCTGCCCAGCCTCATGTCAATTCAACTGCCCAGCAAAACCACCCTGCAAACATACGCCTGGGCTCAAAAAGTCCCCAGGTTCCCACTGCAGCCAACGGCATCTCCAAAGCAGCAGGTAACTTAGCTACCTAACGTTTAGCCATGTAAATAACCCTTTTTTTGTATAGATACTCTTGATTGTGTACAGCTGCATGGGGAGAAGATGCAAAATTAAAGCTAACTTTAGAAAAAGAAAAGAGAGAAGAGGAAAATGCAGCTAGTTACATGTCTGAAATGAAAATATTTAAAAATAATCCAGGTCTAAATAGCTGGGTTTGGAATGCTAACAGTGAGCTATTTTCTGCCCTTGTTCCCAGAAAGGCCATCTCAAGTCTCCACCTCTGGAACTGCTCATAAGTGGCTCGGAGCAAAAGCAGATCCGTGGGATACTCTTCCCAAAAAGCATTGACCCAGCGAGGCTGAGCCAATCGTGCACAAAGGCATTCAGAAATCCCAGGTCCATCCAGTGGAAAGCAGGCTTGGGAACAAGTTACAAACATAAAACATCCGTCCATCCAGCTCTTACACCCTGCTCTTGTGGAGGAGCCTCTTCTTGGCAGGGTAACAAAAAGGCCGCATTCAGCATCATTTTGCCTCAGCAGTACCGCGAGCCACGTCAGCAGAGAACTGCCAGCCAGCTCACACTGATATCAGTGGCAAAACCCCTCCAGACACCAGAGCAAGAGTAGGCTGTATACCAGGTCGGACATACCAGAACACAATTTCTTCCAACTGCTGCTGTATTTACTACGCAGAGAGGCTGATGCTCTAATGTTCCCCTCACCTATTATTTCACACTATTCAACCATGGGATAATTGACAGAATTATTGTGCTGATGCTCTCTCGTTCCCACACTTACTTAAGCCATGGGCTTGATGGCAAGGGATTTGGATGCTCTGTTCAGCTGGGAACGGCCACTGGGCAATAACAAAGGAAAAGATTTTTCTCAAGTCCGTAATTTGCTCTGGCTCTTTTCTTACATATCTTAATACAACTTTGTGGCAGCAGCTCATCTCTCTTCGACCACAAAGATAAATTTGAGTAAGTTCTTCTTAACTGGGTCCTTTTTGGCAGAAGACCTCCAGTGACCGAAGCGCCCTGAGAAGCAGCAGCGGTGATGTGTCCATCTGCCAGCCAGACACACGTAACCATGCAACGCGCCGTGTCACCCACATCCCTGCCTGTGTTTCAAAGATCATCTAACACTGCATTGCTCCAGCTGATGGGCACAGATCCTTCCTACATTTAACCCTCATCCAGTCAGGCTCTTATGCCATCCACATTTTAATGGGCTTCACTCCAACTAAAAGCTGACAGCAGCAGAGCCTCTTGGTCAGTGCGCTTATATGGTGTGTGTGTGCAGTTCAACTTACTTGTCCTTTATTTTGGGTAAAAGAGAAGAATTGTTGGCCTGCAGTTCGTTCCCCTTAAATTACTAAAACATTTTTTCAGAGAAAGGCTGAGGCGGACAGACTCAGCCTACAAGATTTTACCTCGTTATGCAGTGCAAAGTGCAGCACAAAATCACAGAAAAGGACTTTTTTGTATTTGTTTTTTTTTTTTTTTTATACATCAGACACTGTTTTCCTTGGTGGGAGAAAATGTAGTTCACGTTATTCAGATTCTGTAATATACCTGAAATATTTGGCTTGGTTTCCAAAAGATAACTCTGTGTGTGCCTACATCTGCATCTATCCTGTTTTATGCTCCCTCCCTCCCATGGCCTGTTGTACCACTGGCAAAAGTCAAGGAAATCCAACAGGCGTTAGAAAAGTTGCAAATATCAGCTTCTTAAAAGTCATGTGAAAATCAATGCCTAAAGACAGGAGGGAAACCGTACCGTTGTCCTCTGAAAGACAGGCAGTACTATGAACCTAGCGATTACCAAGCATCAGTGAATCCAACATAAGCCACAAATCCATAAGAAAATGAGGCTTCGTTAGCTCACTTATTCAGAGAGCTACTTGTTATATCTGTCCATAAGGGTCTGCCTGCCCAAGCTGGCTTCAAATTACATAAAGGTCATGAGAGCTGTTGGGGATGCTGAACAGTAGATGCCAGGGGCCATTTTCCAAAGGGATGTAAGAGGAAGGAGGGAGGTACGTTCAGCGTTTTTCGCAACAGGGCTCTTTAGACACCTGAATAACGCAGCCTCTGCCCAGAATCACCTCTGCAAGACAGAAGAGTGTGAAGGGTTCCAAGAATATACCTTGCACTTAATCTACTTGTATGCTATTAATGTGTGATTACCTAGAAAACATACAAAAATTAACTGCTATCTGGAAGTATCTGATAAGAAATGAGCAACCATAGAAGATACGCCTATAGACATGAGCGCTTTTGAGCCTCAAATCTTGCCTGGCTGATTTGAGGACAACACTGTTGTTCTGAAACCCAAATCTACTTCTAAATCAGTATTTTGAGGCTGCTTCAGGATACGGCAGATGCTTCATGGAAACCAGTTCTGCGGGGGCTCAGGGAATAGAGAGAAGGTAAAAATCAAAATTGGGCCAGAACTGCAGAAGGCCAAAAATTGCCATTATGTTACCAAACCACTTACATAACACAAGGCAACAAATTTCACCCGCTGCGCCTGCATTCCCTCCAAATCCAGCACGAGATGGAGAATTGTCTAAGACAGACATCACGTCTTGATTTGAAGACATCAACTGATGCAGAATCCATAAGCTCTCTTAGGAAGCTAACCTCATTGCAAAAAATCTTCACTCCAGCTCCTGCATGAATTTATCCGGCTGTTAGTCCTGGTAGATTAAAGCACCCTGAAGTTTGCAGCTGAGGTCATTTCTGGCCTTCTATTCTGTGTTCTTGATCATAAAAATGAAGGAAAGGTAATACAGAGACTATTGACAGAGCCACTAAACACAGTAT